CTATCAGCTGCACTTTTAGTGTTGTTGCAGCTTAATGCCGAAAGGTACTCTTAATTCTCACCCTTTACGCTACAGTATATTGATCGGCTCGAGTTGTTTGGCCCTCGTCTTCACCTATCCGCTATTCAAACGTTTTACTTATTGGCCCCAATTAATGTTAGGTAAGCTTGTCTATTTAAGCTTATCAGCCATTTCTAGGGGCAACCCTCAACTGGGGCGCTTTGTTAGGCTATACTGCCGTAAATTCTTTTAATTTTTCAATATGTGTTCCTCTGTACATCTGTGGTCTTTGTCAGACAGTTATGTATGATTCAATCTATTCGCACCAAGTGAGCAATGTAAAACTTGCATGTTTCCGTTTTTTGCGTTGCTCTGGGTTGCGCTGTCTATGTATGCTTTATGTGTATCTCAATTTACCCTCGCTTCTTGTTTACTTTAAGGATTCACCTTCAATTGGGGAGTTTTCCTCGGTTTTTCTGCTATTAGTGGCGCATGCCCCCTCATGATCTGCCTTCCGCTTTACTTTTCTGCTGTCGCATGGACTGTCGTATACGATACTGTTTATGCTCATCAGGTGTGTTTGCGTGCCCAGAGCTAATTTTTCTAAATTTTCCCTTGATCTGACCGATTATCCACCTTTAAGGACATAAAGTACGACAAGGAGTTGGGTTTAAAGTCGACAGCCATTCTCTTCGGGGATGATACAAAGAAGTGGCTTTCGGTATTTGCCCTTGCGATGGCGACGAACCTTGGAATTGTTGGAATCGCATCCCAATCGGGGTGGGTGTACTTTCTGGGCGCAGGCCTTTCCATGATTCGCCTGGGGTTCTCAGTAAGTTTCCATGTGATACTTGCCTTTTGAAATGCTCAAATGGGTATTACTTTCTTCGTATGTTGTCAGCAGCTCCCTATTTTTGGTCCCACTGTATCGTCGAGGGGTCTATTTTTTCATGGTCTCTTATCTTTCAGAGTCAGGTCTTATTACTGGAAAAAACTGTTTATTGCGTTATAACTTACTGCAATAATTCAGCAATAATTTGTGTTGCTATCCACAATTTG